GCTCATTCAACAATGAGGAAACCGTGGACTTCGCTGAAATCTCCCAGCTTCCGAAAATTACTGGTGAAGAGGAAATGATCGAGTCCATCCTTCAGCCTGAAGGTTGCTGCAATAGATGTAGACGATGCCCCTACGCTGAAAGACAATCAAACGAGTGAAGCAAGCGTGGGCGACTTCCATGCATGTACGAGTGCAATATTCAGATGCCCCAGTGCTCAGGTGACGTGGTTCTCGAAGAAGATCATGAGGAAGAATTAAGCAAGACTCCCTTTAGGGTTATAGACGAGTACTATGGTAATGCTAAGAAGGGCTGTGGAATTTGGAATCACTGCTTCCGCAGCGCCCATCCACTTGCCTGCAGACATTTCTGCAATCGCAATCGTGCGAAGGTGGCCCATCCTAGAGGTACTCCTGTCCATCCTTGCGTGCGCCCTCATGCCAAGTACTATTTAAGTGAAGAAAACTCAGTCTTGAAATTGTCAAGAAAGGATTTGAGCCTTGGCGTAGGGTTCCTTCCTCAGAATATAACGCTATGTCTTATAGAGCCGGGGATCTTAGAAACATTTATGATGAGAGTGGAAGAACGAAAGGCCCCTATGGAGCGACTTGAGGTCATCAAAACAGCCACAGGTCCCATGCTCCGTTCAGAGTCCGTTGCCGAGGTATGTGCAGCCCTCTTGGCAGCTGGTTCTCTTAGGTCCTAGGTGATATACTTTCAGTAGTGCAGCTGAGGTTCCCAGCTCAAGCAAGGCAACTGGTTCTAGTGGTGATTCTTTTAGGAGGCCTGAGCGACCTCAGGGTACCACAACTAAGAATAGGGTTGTTAATAGGAGCCAGGGACCTCTCAGGGAGAGATCAAGAAAGCGCTCTACTCCACAGTGCTTCCATCATCTCATTGATTGGGATGCAACCTGGGAAGAGCATAAGCGCGATCCCACCTGTGGGAATCTCTTCCTTCACTTCCTCTCCAACATCAGTACCCATATCCTCATCATGCAAGAGGCCAGCGCCAGTCGCCAGCAGGAAAGAACTGTAATGGAAGAGCAGGGCTGGCTTACTGCTACCAGTCTTGATAAAACTCTCCTGTGCGGCGTTTACGCCAATCCCTGGGCTGGTGCCTGCATCCATCACATTGCCGGCCCCCGCACCGTCAGGAGGTATGAAGAAACTCCCTTGCAGTATGCTATCTTCGAGGCCTCTTTTGGCGATGAACCTCGAAGAGAGAATTGGGAAAGAGCAGGCAGCTCAACGTGAACTCCTTCATGAGGATAACCGATAACCCTGCCAAAGATAAGATTATCAGGTGTGGAATGCATGTTGTCCGCGTTTGCTCTTTCCACCTCAACCATCATGCAGCCACTGCCAGCCCTGAATTGTGTGGTGAGCTTCTCAGCTCCATGGTTGCTGATTGCTTCCATTATCAGGTTGATAGTATAGGTGGCGATGGTAATGCCTCAACTTATAGGTTTGGGGGTAGCAACCAAAAGTCGTCCTCAAATGAGCAGTCTCTCTTTCAGGAGGTATTCAAGTCCTTCAGAGACGCCTTTGTGTCATGCCAAGGAGACGATCTTGCAGTCAGTCCCAAACTGAGGTGCACCTCAGGCAACACGACAGAAACTCTCCGTTACTTCGACGAGAACTTCGGTCGCCCTTGGAATGAGATTGAAGTCAAATATCCTCCTGATGCTCCTGATGGGGATTGCATGGTTGCTTGCATCACTGAGTGGGGGCACAGCCAAAATCTTGACAAATGGTCAAGTCATCCTCCAGCAGAATATGAGTATCTCATTAAAATTAGTGCATTCTTGATGTGTGCTGGATTGGAGACTCTGTACCTAGGTCCTAAAGACAGGGACAGCCACACCATCTTGTTCTTTACGCTCCGCCATAATCTCACCACTGCGCGGGATCGGAGGAAGTCTGTTCCTTTCCCTGAGGTAAAGTATCCTCCTGATGCACCTAATGGAGATTGCATGGTTGCCTGTATCATGGAGTGGGGACATAGCCAGAGTTTGGACAAATCGTCCAATCATCCTCCAGCAGAATATGTGTACATCGTCATAGTCAGTGAGTTCCTGATGTATGCTGGACTGGAGACTCTGTTCCTGGGTCCTAAAGATAAGGACAGCCACACCATCTTGTTTTTCACGTTCCGCCCTAATCGCACCACTGCAAGGGAACGGAGACAATATGTTCCGTACCCTGTCAAACAAGAAAGGCTAAACAACAGGAAGGCACGTCAAGAGACAAATCGACTGAAGGGTAAAGCCAAAGGCACTTTGAAGGGCCAGGCCAAGGTCAAAGGCAAAACGAAATAAGCCTGCCAGTGAGCTATGAACCCAAGACTCTTTCGACAAGGAGATATTGGATAGCTTAGCTCCAAGCAAGGTTTCTGTGTGCCCTAGGCATCTTCAACGAGATGGTAAGGGCTTTGCACTTGCCAGCCGTAGGTTCGCCTTTCAGTAGATATGTTTGTTTCACACCGAGAGCTAGATAGCCGACCAACGGGACAGTTATGTAACATGAAAGTGAATTTGTGCCTGGTTGAAATAACTTCAGTCCTGTTGCTTTACTATCAGTCCATGTACAGTTCATGTGACACAACTGCACTGCATGTTGCTGTAGGGTTCTAGGGAGTTGCTACTCGAGTGCGTAGAGCGTGGAAAAGGACAGAGAACAACTGAAAAGTGGACCTTGTCACAACCGATCCCAATTCAACTGATTGCAAACCGGTCCCTACTGCAACCAGAACACAACAAAATGAGATTACCATGAGATGCCGGAAGTACTCGTGACAACCCAGCCCATTGAATGCATTCTGGGTTGGCGTCCGCTTTCAACCCCCCCAGCCCATTTAATGTATCCTGGGGTGGGCTCTGCTCTCAACCCAGCCCGTTTAATGTATTCTGGGGTGGGCTCTATTCTTGGAGTGGACATTTTGAATGGGTGGTCGGAGGGCTCTGGACGTTTCGAGTGGATGGTAGTGGAGGGTTCTTGGTATGGTGCTTTTCGTATGGTGCTCTTGGTATGGCGCTCTTGGTATGGTGCTCTTGGTATCTTGCTCTTGGTATGTTGCTCTTGGTATGGTGCTCTTGGAGGGCTCTTTGGAACGGTGCTTTGGCTCTTGGAGGGGTGCTCTTAGAGGGGTGTGTTCGTGGATGGCTCTTGGCGGGCGCTCAGGGTGCTCTTGGAGGGAATGGTGCTTGTGGAGGGCTCTTTCAAGGGTGCTCTTGGAGGGACTGGTGCTCTTGGAGGATTCTGTTGGAGGGCTCTCAGAGGGTGCTCTTGGAAGGAACAGTGCTCTTAAAGGCTTTTGGAAGGCTCTTAGAAGGGTGCTCCCGGAGGGCTCTTAAAGGGCTCGCAGAAGGGTGCTCTTGGAGGGACTGGTGCTCTTGGAGGATTCTGTTGGAAGGCTTCCAGAGGGTGCTCTTGGAAGGAACAGTGCTCTTAAAGGCTTTTGGAAGGCTCTTAGAGGGGTGCTCCCGGAGGGTTCTTAGAGGGCTCGCAGAAGGGTGCTCTTGGAGGGACTGGTGCTCTTGGAGGATTGTGTTGGAGGGCTCTCAGAAGGTGCTCTTGGAAGGAACAGTGCTCTTAAAGGCTTTTGGAAAGCTCTTAGAAGGGTGCTCCCGGAGGGTTCTTAGAGGGCTCGCAGAAAGGTGCTCTTGGAGGGAATGGTGACGGTGGAGGGCTCTTTTGGAGTGTTCTTGAAGTGGCGTTCTTGAACGCATGTTCTTAGAAAGTTTTTGATTTGGGGTTTGCAATTTCCGGATGAGGGAAGTGAGTGGAACAAGGTCAGGGGACTGTGCCTTGTTTGGTTCGTTGTATCCTTGAAATGTGCGGATTGTCATAGCTAAGTATGAAAATTTGGCTTTGGTTCCTGTACCCATAGTCATAGCGTGTTAATATCATTGGTCCTTTCGGGCCTCTGGTACCCTGAAAGTTGGCAATAATCATACAAAGTCACAGTCATACCTATTTATCATCATTTGACCTTTTGATTCCTTGCCATGCATGCCCTGAAATTTGGGAATAGTCATAGCAGGCCTCTTTTGGTTTCTTGTATCCTGAAATTTCGCAATTGTCATAGTAGGCTGTTTAAAGGACCCTGTCGGGTTGCTTGTTGGTACGGAATGTAACAAGCCAGGAAGATGAACAAGTACTTAGGGTTAATGGAAACGAAGGCTTGGCTAAGAATTATGATTCGGCCCTTGGTGTTTTTTTTGTAGCCTCATATTCGGGAATAGTCATAGCTAAGTATGATGACTCGGCCCTGTCGTGTCCGTTGCATACCCTGAATTTTCGGAATTGTCATGGCCACACATTATGATTTGGCCAGTTCTGGTTCTGTATACACTGGAGTGATTCGGGATGCTAAGGTTATAGGTGGTCCCCTTCAACTTCTCGGCATTCAGACGAATCATGCTCTGTACTACAACTCAAGTTTCCCTGAGTTAGATCTGATTTCCTTCCCGCGGAATACAAGTACGATCCTGGAATCCTGCTGTACATGAATGTAGTAGCTGGTTGTGATAAAGGGGATTGTAGGATGGGTACGAGAGGGGAAGCACATTGGGATGGACGATAAAAAAGAGGGGCGAGGCGGCGGGATGGAAGACAAGGCAGTTGGGCTTCACTGTGCGCTCCCTCTCAGGCTGGGGTCGGCGGAGAATTGCTGTCAAAACCATGGTTTGTTGTTGCGCAGTGGTACTGTCAGTACTGACGTTATCCTTCTTATAGCTCTTAATACCGTTCTTGTTATGACGGGAACTATGTGCCACTTTCTGGCAGCTTTCACGGCTAGGCTTCTAAGTGTACGCTTTGCATCGCCCAGTCCCCTCTTGGTATGGTAGCTTTCCACACAGGGGGAACCCTGATAATCTAGACGCGAATGTACCATGTGCCTGACCCTCAAAAAGGTGCCCCTAATCTAGGGAGACCCTTGCATGTAACTCTCGTTCTATTCCACTATTCTTGGCTAGTTCGCATAAGCCCTGGCAGAGGCCAAAGCACTTCCAGATGTTTGCCAAGACGTGTCTGTGTGGGGTGACGGCCTGAGTTGTGCCGTCTAGGCCCTAGTAGTTTAGGGCCTATGCAATGAATTGCTTTCCTTGAAGGTGTATGGCAAATTGCGGATATTCATCTACTGATTCTGAGTCAGGAACCTGGACATGAGGTGAACAATGCCAGAAGCAATCCATTCCCGATTGGACAAGATAGGTCATTCTCAAAGCCCTGGCAGAAGTTATAGTATGACACATCGTACCTGGGTACAAGACAGGAGATGGAGACTGCCTGCCCATACAAGGGGCACGTGAACACGTTCTCCAGGTGGTGGGCTTGGTTCTCCTCGCGTACGCGGACAAGTTCAACCTCCCAATTTTCTTCTTACGGCTGCTTGCATACATCTACGCCAGGCGGGAGCATGAAGAGTCATGTATCATTATTGTTACTATTGAGAACATGGGGTTCCCGTAAATGAGGGACCAAAATAGACCCCGACATGCTATGACTATGACCTTATCAGAAGATGTAGCTGCTTTTGTCAATTTGACCACAAGCTACTACTGACTATTCCTGTGTTGTCATTTGATGCGTGCTCGTGCCATGGTCATGACACCCAGACCTGCGCCTGAAACATGTGTCACATCAGGGCAGGAGGATGCCATTCAAGGTCAAGTCATCAAGCCGTGTTCGTGGATTGCGATAACGGATTCCTGCAAGGGCCTGCAACTGCAGCACAAACAGTGTCTGGACTACCCTGAGTATCTTCTGGTACGAAAGTACCGGGCATTCCCGACGTAGTTGCAAGATCAATCTCGGCCAACGTGCGGCCGACAGCCCAAACACCCAAAGCCCATAAAGTGCCGGTTCCAAACCTTCCGCGCGAACCTGAAGCTTGCCATTGCAAAAGCCCACTAAACAGGCCAAAAAACACCTAAAATCCTAAACTTGCACTGATCACAGTATCTCTTCCTCTGGGGTCTTGGTTGCTGTCGCGTAACAGGTTCCTGCAAGGTCTCACAGCCAGCATCCTTTTACTGCAGGGCACCCCAGCTTTGTGCCGTTTCTGTGGCTTGAGGGTCCAGACCTTGCTCAGCTGACGGCTTAAAGCGTACCGTGTGGTTTCGGGTTGGGGGCTTATGTTATAAGTTCAGTGCAAGTGCTTGTGCTGGTTTGAGGTTTCGAGCTCTTTTTTAAAAGGGTCCTCACTGTGGTGGTTTTCTTCGGGGGGATAGAGGCCCGTGAATGTTGAGCAATACTTAAACGCGAGGGTGCTCGATAGCTGATGTCGGTGCAGCAGACCTGACTCTGGAAAACCCAATCAACATCAAGTGTTTAGGGTTTAGGGTTGAGTGCAGTTGGGCCAATGATGGGAAGTGAACCCTGGAAACAAGCATGGAACTCAAGGGGCCACCTGGAGACTCTTGTCCGTTAAAATGAGGTCGATCGGATTGTTAATCGCTTCCCCTACTACCAAATGATGTCTCCCGTCCCCGCTCTAGCATTGAAGAAATCCAGGGCCCGAAAACCTATCTAACGTTAGAGGGGGGATATCTATTGAACGAATTATGCAGATAGCGCTGCCTAAAACAACACTTTTTTTTTCAACCTGGAAAGTCAACACCTACTTGAGTCAGAGAGTTGATTGCGTTAACTGAGAATTGAAATTCAATAAGTTCAGATTCTTCAAGTACTCAATAATTAATTGATAACTCCAGAACCTCCCCAATTCGTTATTAGGTGCCACTGCCACTTTGAAGGCAGTCTTGCCCTTTAAAAATGTTCTTCCGGATTTTCGCCCCTGAACTGAACTCAGTGATTTTTCATATGCGGGGGATCCAATACTAGGGCGAGGGATTAGCTTACAGGAGGACAGCAGGGACCAGCCTCTCATGACCGCCCTTGTTCTAGAGGCCTCCGGCGAACAACGCCAACCGCAATGGCTAAGCGCTGACCCTGCAGTCAGCGGCGAGCTGACAAAATGCCGCTTCTGTAGCAGCCGCCGCTCTGGCCCTGAGCCGCCTATGCATGTGCCAGAGCCGCGTCACAAGCGAGAATGAGCAAACGAGTTCTGTGGCACCTCTCGGCTCAAAAGCAACTTCGTGCGACTGCCAGCTGTACCTGGCAGCCAGCTGCAACACCGCTGTAAGTCAGATTGTTTGTCTCTTGCCAGGGGGGGTTGAGTACGAAGCCACCATTGCCATCGAATCGAAGAGCATGCAAACTGCTCGATAAGCGAGAATGGGGCACCGCTACGATAGGCAATCCGATAGGAGCAGTTGTACAAAGTCTGGAGCCCTGTGACGGGACTATCAGCATGTGAGGGTTGGTTTAAGAAGTCCGTCCCGGTTGTCATCGCTACAGTGGGTGGGTATACGGAAAATTACCGCGAATGAACGCCAAGCAAGACACGGTTCCATCAAGATGTCATCGCACTCCTGCCATGGCTCGGCAACTGCTGCCTGGGTCGAGCGCAAGCTGGATGGTTGGAAGTTCCTTTGCAACGCTAACACACTTACCTTGGTTTCGAGAATTTGTGCACGGTTCCCTTGCTTAGGCAGCTCGGGCAGTTTGCACAGATTCTACTCATCTCACGTCTCTCTCATGAGCTTGCAGTGCAGCTGGACAAAGTCCGAGGCCAGGACGTCGTGATCAGATGCTGTAATGTGTCATGCGCGAAACAATGTGGCGAGGCGCACTTGAGCGCGCGGGGCACTGGGATGTGAGCCACAAAAGTAAGCAGCTGGGAATGACTTAGCTTACTGGGAGTTGAGGCCCAACATGACCGTGTTGCTTCAACTAAGGTTTCCTTCTGCCATAGAGCAGGAACCTCTGCCTGGGGCGATCCGGGCAACTACTCTTGAGGTCTGGCTTCAGAAGCAGCCCGGCGCCCACGCGATGGTGTGGCTGCTGTTTGATGTTCGATCAAATTTCCGTGACCTCTGGAGCTCGAGTTTCTAGAGGTCAGAGGCGCCAACTGCGAGTTGCAACCATGCGGCTGTTCCGCGCTGTCGGCTGCGCTTGAGCTTCACGTTTTCGTGTGTTATTGTGCGCCGCATGAACTATGTATATGTGTGGCATCTGATGTGAAATTGTCTTAGGAAGCGCCGTGCTCCTCGGATTTCAAATGTCTCAGATGTCAGCACACGAGCTTCTGCCGGCGAGGCGGCTTCGGAGGACAGAAGCCGACTTCCACGTTTATGAGTGTCATGTGACAGCCTTCCTTCTTGCTGGAGGATTCTTCAAACGACGAGTCCGGTGAGCAGTCTTCAAGCAGCATGAGCATTTTGGAGTGCGGGTAGCACCAAGTCTTTTTGCATGCAACTTGTAAGCATGTTTTTTTTTTGGTTTCCTCGGTGCAAAGGTCCAGGGATGAGATTGTGGACTGCATGTCCGGGGATCCGCCAACGCCGCATGGTCTGCAAGTACTAGTAAGGGCCTGCCTCAGGGGACCCTTCTGTTTTAAGGGCTGCCTCGGTGTCTCAGAGGCTGCTTCAAGCCTTGGCCTGTAGGTTCATACCGCAGAGTCCTGGAAGAAGGTGACTTGCTGCAAACGGAGAGGGGACTGCAAGTGTGAGTGTGAACACGAACAGACAGCGTTGGAGCCGGGCTAGATGTGAGGTCAATCCTGGATTCTGGGATAGACGGGCTACGAACGCCTGTGTTCCCTGCTCCGCATCATGTTCCGTTTTGCCCGAGGGATCGCTAAAGATCGAATCTTTATTTTTCTGGACTTAAGTGAATTCATCGCAAGCCCTTCGTATGCCGAATAAAGCCTTGTCTGTGGGTTGCTGCAAAATGTTTGCTACTGCAAGGCAGTCGACGGCAAACCGCAGCAAGGACGAGATGCCTGCTCAGCCTTTCATCTCGCCAAGACGCGATCCGCCCGAGGCTCAGGGTGCGCTGACATAGGTTGGAGCAGGGCAAACATTTTGTGAAGAAAAGGTTCGAAGGGCATATCTTTTGCAAAAGAGAGCACGGGCAATGTTGCAGAATGTTGTTTGCCTTCGATGCGTTTGATAAGCCAATGTTCTTTACCGTAAGGGCTCACACGCTGCCACGAGCCATCTGGTTCTCCATCGCTGTTCGTTTGCTGTGCGGTGCAGTCCTTTCATAGTGGGCATCGGGTGGGGGCTTCTCAGCTGGCAGCAGTGCTAAATGAGAGAAGACGAGGCGCACGTGGCATCTAAGTCCATAAATATTACCTACGTTGCGCCTTGAAGTCTACAAATAGTACCTATGTTGGGCTTGTCGGATCCCACTTTGCCCCAATAAACTCCTAGTTTCCATTAACGTTCCCTGTTCTTTTCCATTTGATTCTCCATCATTAGGGCTATACATTGGGTTATTTGGATCCCTAAGCCCTCATCCCTACGTCTTAAACCCTAAATCCTTAACCCTGAATCCTTTAAACCTTGGGAAGCAGGCATTGTCAGCTGTCAACTCCCTGGAGCTGCGTCTGCAGCGGCAGATGCAGGATGTGGGATTGAGGGTTTAGGGGGTTTAACGGGTTTACTGGATTTAGGGGGTTTAAGGGGTTTAAGGGGTTTAGGGTTTAGGGGATTTAGGGTTTTGGGGGTTTTAGGGTTGGGCTCCAAAGCCAGCTTATACTAGCTGCTTCACGGGCGGAGAAAGTCCTGTGATGTAGTGTTTTGGGGTTTGGGGGTTACGGTTGTAGTGTTTAGAATTGAAGTTAGTTTTTGGGTTTAGAGCTTGTGGGTTAGGGTGGAGGATTCAGTATTTGAGGTTCACTATAAAGCTTGCGAAGTGTTAGGGCTTGGGCCTCATGAAGTTTGGGTTCAGGTGTATGATTAAGGGTTTAGGGTTTAGAGCTTACGCTTCAGTACCTACACGTTCCTAACTGAGACCGCAAAACCACACACTTTGCAGGCTGTAAACTTCCAAAAAAAGCCGAACCATCCCACCACAAGCCGTTGAACAACAGCCTGAAGAGGCGCATGAGTCTTTTTCCTGTGCACGGATCGAAAAATCTCGCCTGAGAGAAAACCAAACTTTCCCCGTGTTGACATGTGCTTCCACATACTGCTGCATGCGAGCCCTGCCCACCTACTAGCGGTCGTGCTTTCAATTCTGATCAATATTTGAGCTAGCTAAACCGCTGCTACAACCTTTGAGTACAGTAAACTTCCTATTACTCACATTACTACTACTATGATTATATATTCGTATCTAACCATTTTCCGAACCCTGCAGGCAGAGACTGAGAGCACCGCGCTGCGAGCTGAAACACGTCAGCTGACTGCTGAGTTGGACTCCTGGGCAAGAAAAGTGCAAGCCTACCTTCGTCATTGTCTAAGATCTTTACACCGAGATCGGACAAGTCCGTAGAGCTTCAGAAAGTGGAGTCACCATCCTAACTTGACCGGCATGAAGCTCAAGAATCACTCATGGGTGCTTTGATTTGACATCAAGCGAAGGGTAGGCTTTGGCAAATCATTTGGAGAGCAGGTGCCAATGAGGCCTTAGCGCTGGATGGCAGCGGTGATCTCGAAGGGCACCATCATATGTAATCATGCCTGGCTGTTCTCTCAAGTTAAAGCAGGTCCAGCTATGTGCTACCCAGAGTCAGACAGAATTGACAATTACTCGCTGACTTCTCAGAGTTCTTCAATTTCGCATTTGCGGTGGCTGCTACAGGCAACTCATGAGGGCTTGCACAGGCGCTATCAAGTAATCTAGGGCTGTGTCCAAATTTGGCACACCGTCAACCCTGAAGCCTCGTTTGCTCCTCTTGACTCCAATCCTCCCTTGCTTTGTCGAACTTGGAAATCTCCCCCGACATTTTCAAGTGAACCCTCATCCCTGAGCGGTAAACAGGTCGAAGAGCCCAGAAGGCAGTTGTTCAAATGACACTGTAGAATCTGTCTACGAGACCTGGAAAATCCCCTTCTAAGCCACCTACATATCCCAAGAGGGTCCTTAAACTACACAATTTTTTGAGAAACCCTAAACCCAAAACCCCATGCTTTTTGAGAAATCCCACAAAATCATTTTGAGCTGAGGATCGAGCTCGACACGATGCCGATTGCGCCTTGCTCCAGGCGGCTCTCACACGGGTGGGGCGAAACATGTGTCAAGCTACGCTTTGCGCCTTTAAGCTTTGAGGCTCAGAGGCTATAGCTATAGCGTTTGAAGTTTAGGGTGTAGGCACTGCAAAGAATGTTGTTATGGGCGTGCTATGTGAAACCTTCCACACAGAGTTTTCGGACAACCCCGTTAACATGCTTCCGCGACAATTTGCCTTCAATTGGTGTTCGCGAAAGCAATTTCCATGACAAGGTCATTCCGTCATCAGGGATAAGCCCCAGAAAAGCATTCTTTTTTTGCAGCGCCTACACCCTCAACTTTAAGCCCTGTAGCCATAGACTCCAAGCCTCAAACCTTGAAGGCGCAAAACGTAGCTTGACCTGTAAACCCTCAACCACAAAGCCAGGTCCGTTACTACCAGCACGAAACCCAGGTGTTGCGAATGAAGCTTGGCTTCTTTTAGCCCGCGTTAAAGCAGGTTTCAGGAAGTAGTAGTGGTGGTGGTGGTAGTAGTAGTAGTAGTAGTAGTAGTACTACGACTACTACTACTGCTGCTGCTGCTGCTACTACTACTACTACTACTACTAGGTCACGGCGCTTTATTTTGCCGTGGGTTATCGCGTATGAGGGGCCTAAAAAACATTGTTGTAGGGGCTAAAAATATCCTCTGGAACTACTTCGTTTTGGATGACTTTCTTGGCCGTAATAGTGCAGGTTTCATGAATGTGGCGCTTAAGGTTTAAGACAGGGTAGTACTACTACTAGTACTACTAGTACTAGTACTACTAGTACTACTAGTACTACTAGTACTACTACTACTACTACTACTACTACTACTACTCGTGGTGCTGGTGGTGGTGCTGGTGGTGGTGGTGGTGCTGCTGCTGCTGGTGGTGGTG